CGGACGCTTAACCGACTGCGCCACCCAGGCGCCCCGAAAACCACATTTTTTACCAGGCTTTCCAAGAGCGTAAACAGGGAGGGGAAACAAGTAGCATAATTCAGTGTCTGCAAGCTCAACTCAAGTCAGTTATTCAGAAGTACTCCCACTTACCAAGACCTGATAAAAATTTCTCGCACATTTTTCCTAAACGGATATTGTGTGATACAGAAGGCTACATTCTTCACATCTTTACTGTTACTACACTAACATATTTCAGGAAGCTTTATTTTTTAAATAAATTCCTTAAGGATGGCACAACTGGGTGAATACAGTTCTGGAGGGAGCCATAAGGAAGGTCGTTTTTTAACAGACGTTGACAGAAGTCCCTGAGCTGGACACCACGGAGGGAAAGTAGACACTAGAACCACATCCACACGCAGGAAGTTCCTAGCAAATCAGCAAGCTCGAAGAGCTGGAAGAACAGACTACACAAGTAAATAATAAATATGGATGGACTTTGAAAAGGAAAAGGACCCCTCGGCTTGCTCCCTGTCTTACCTGAGAGTCCACAGAGAAGTTGCCGGCAGCGCTGAGGGCACTCAGGAAGGGCTGCACATAGCGCCGGACAGCCCCCTCGATGTCCCAGTGGACGTCGTGGGACTTGGGGTCTGGGTTGAGTAAACTGAAGGTGATCTCATAGCCTATAGGAGACAGGAGTCAGGGAAGGCAGAGGCTTCTGTGGCTCAAGGGCAGTCGTACCCCTGGCTGAGCTGAACTTGTTTCTCCTCTAGAATGGGGTTGGTGGCCATGATGGAACCAAAGGGAGGACAAAACTGGGATGAGGAACAGTGAGTGCTTTCAACTAAGAGATGAAACCACAGAAGAAAGGAGTAGAGTCTGCATGCAGATTCCCCTCCTGCCCCAATGCCCCCACATCATTCACTTCCCTCTCCCTTCTCACGACAAAGCTCCATCACCCTACCCAAGCTGGACTTGAGAGGCCGCCTCTTATCAGAGCTCCACTTGTCCTCTGGAAGGTGGTCAGCCAGGGCCGCAGCAAGCACATCTTCAGTCAAAGACATGGCCTGCGCTACTTGGATCACCCGGCGGCCGACTATGTTAAAGGCCTCGCGGTGCATTATCCCTCTCACGACTGCTGTCCTCTCGGGCCCGATGTAACTCATCATGTCCTGTGAGAGAGGCCAGCAAGGGAAAGAATGCCCATGGCTCAGGGAAGAAAGCAGAAGAACGTGCCGGCTCCTGTCTCTGAGAATCTGGCTTTTTGCCACTGACCACCAGGCTGACTGCTCCCTTTAGATTCATAGTGAACCATCCCGGCATCTCTGACCAATCAGCATGCATGAATGTTTTCATTCATTTCTGCGACCTTTGCCTTCCCGGCAGACTTAAGTGCAGGCATTATCTAAATCTTTGTGGACTGGAAAACTAGGAGACGGCATGCTGAACAAGGAAAGCAGAATAAACAAACACATGGAAAGTTTGATGTAAGTAAACAGCACGTGGCAAAGAGGCAAGGACAGAAATGTTCACAGCAGCATTATTTCCTTTTTTTAAGTTTATTTTTATTTATTTTGAGAGAGCGCAAGAGAGGGAGGGGCAGAGAGAGAAAGAGAGGGAGAGGGAGAAGGAGAGGGAGAGGGAGAGAGGGAGAGGGAGAGAGGGAGAGGGAGAGAGGGAGAGGGAGAGGGGAGAGGGAGAGGGGAAAGAGAGAGAGAGAGAGAGAGAGAGAGAGAGGAAGAGGGAGAAACCCAAACAGGCTCCATACTGTCAGCACACAGCCCAATGTGGGGCTCAAACTCACGAACCGCAAGATCATGACCTGAGCGGTAATCAAGAGTTGGAGGCTTAACCAACTAAGCCACCCAGGTGCCCCAAGGCGGCATTATTTCTAAGAGTCAAACACTGGAGACAATCCAAATGCCCATCAGCACAGAATGGATAAATTGTGATATTTATACAATAAAACATATTAAAAATGAACACATTAGATTCAACTACACCTTGATTATCATGGAGGATTGTACCAAACATAAATGTTGAATGAAACAAAAGTTACAAAAGAACATGTGCTGTATTATTATAAAGCTCAAAAGTTTACAAAATTAAACATATTGTTTAAAATTTTTTTTTAACGTTTATTTATTTTTGAGACAGAGAGAGACAGAGCATGAACGGGGGAGGGGCAGAGAGAGAGGGAGGCACAGAATCGGAAGCAGGCTCCAGGCTCTGAGCCATCAGCCCAGAGCCCGACGTGGGACTCGAACTCACGGACCGTGAGATCGTGACCTGAGCCGAAGTCGGACGCTTAACCGACTGAGCCACCCAGGCGCCTCTTAAACATATTGTTTATAGAGACATATGTGCTGAAACCTGAAAAAGTAAGAAAATGACACGCACAAAATACGGTCACCCTGAACTAAAATAAAAGGGAGTGGGGCAAACCATGGAAATACACAGGGTTCAGCTACTATTACTAGACTGTAGTTTGCAAGCCAGGGGTGGGTTCGTTAAAATTTTCTTTCACCTTTTTATAAGAATTAAATATTTCAGGGCACCTGAATGGCTTAGTTGGTTAAGCGTCCAACTGTTGATCTTGGCCCAGGTCATGATTCCAGGGTTGTGGGGTAGAGCCCCATGGAGCCTGCTTGAGATTCTCTCTCTGTCTCTCTCTCTCTCTCTCTCTCTCTCTCTCTCTCTCGCTCTCTCTCACTCTCCCTCTCCCTCTCCTTTTCCCTCTCTTCTTCCTTCCCTCTCTCCCTCCCTCTCCCCCTCTGCCCCTCTCACCCACTCATGTGTGGTCTAAAACAAATAAATAAATAAAAATATTTCATCATAAATTTTAAAAGAAAACACTGCATGGCATAGCTCCCAATGAGCCTCTTGCTCATAAAGTGGAAAGGTCAATGCATTGCCCATTTTACCACCATAATCCATTCAAGCCATCTTTTTTTTAATCCTGTTTTTTTTCCACTTCAAATGGTCACTGGAGCTTTAACCATATAGAACTCTTGGAGTTAGAAAGACCCAGAGTCAATGAAAACAACCCTATTTGCATTCTTTTAAAAAAATATTTGGAAAAGAGTTTTCTATAGCAAATGCAAGAAACGGGCAGCACTACTGCAAGAAGGAAGTGACCTAGGAGAGGACAAGCAGATGGGATAAGGCAAGGCCATACCCTCCCTGCTCACCCTACCTGGGGCAGAAGTGAGGAGTGTTCGGGGATCACGTACACAGTCAGGGAGCCCTCTGCTTGCTCCTGCGGCTCAGCTAACATGGTTTCTGCCTCTGGGGACAAGAGCAGAAGGTCTACCAGGAGCAAAACACCATGCCCTATCCCTCTGCCCCCCAACAGAGTGCCTAAGCCACAATTCCACCTCCCTTTCTACATGGCTGACATTGTGGCCAGGCTTGGCCCCCAGTGGCCCAGGCGGAAACACACTCTCATCCCCAGCTTTCCCAGGAAGTTAGAAGATGGTATGGAAACTACACACTTAGAGATCAGAAGAAAAAAGAGGGCTCCGTGTTAAACTAGTGTGATCACTCCTTCCGGTACCTTGCATACTGCCCAGTGACAGGGCCTCTTCCTCGTGGTCCAGAGCCCTCCGATAAGCCTTCTGGAAACGGCACTTGATTTTCATTTTGTCTGAGAGGGAAAGGAAGAGGATGAGAAGACTAAGGGGTGCCTGGGTGGCTTAGTTGGTTAAGCATCTGACTTCAGCTCAGGTCATGATCTCGCAGTTCATGAGTTCGAGCCCCACATGGGGCTCTGTGCTGACAGCTTGGAGCCTGGAGCCTGCTTTGGACTCTGTGTCTCCCTCTCTTTCTGCCCCTCCCCCACTCACTCTCTGTCTCTCTCAAGAAGAAATAAACATTGAAAAAAAAAAAAAAAGATAAGACTAAATACAGACCTCTGCCCATCTTCCCAGCCCTAACACTGTCCAGTGTCTCAGGACATCAAGAAAATCGTTTGCAGAGAAAGTCCCAGAGGCTACAGCCAATTCTAACGATTTCTACATGGATGATATCAAATACACGACACTCCACCTCTTCCACCTAACCAGCTCTTGCTTCTACCTGTGTACACACTACCTTCAACCTGAAGTACTCTCCCACAGGGAAATCTATTACAATATTTATTCTATTAATAGGTGAAAGGAGCAAAACCATACGATCACTTCGATAGGTGCCTCAAAATAAGGCAACAAATTCAGGTTGTTGTTTTTTTTAGAGAGAGTGTGAATGCGCCAGCATGCATGCGTGCGTGCACACAAGCAGGGGCAGAGCAGAGAGAGAGAGAGAAAATCTCAAGCAGACTTTGTGACGTCAGCACAGAGCCTAATGTGGGGCTCAATGCAGGACCTGATCTCACAAACCATGAGATCGTGACCTGAGCCCAAATCAAGAGTCCGATGCTTAACCAAATGAGCCACTCAGGCGCCCCAATGAACATTCTTGATAAAAATGCACACTTAATGACAAAACACTCAAGTAGTTCCATTAAAATCATTAATAAAATGAGGATGCCCACTACTTCCTCTATTATTCAGCACTGTTCTTTCTGAAGTTCCTGACCAATGAAAAAAGTGAAGACCAGTGAAGAAAGAGACACGAAACCTGAATACTTGAAAGAACAAAATGTCCACTTTTTGAAATAGCATAATTATTTTCCAAGAAAATCAAAGAAAATCAACTGAAAAAAATATCACAACTGGTAACAATTCAGTCCTATGACTAGATATACACAAGAATTAATAGCTTTCTGAGAAATACCAGCAATGTCCAATTTGAAAAGCAAGTATTTTTTAAATCCCAATCCTCATCATAATAAAGAACGTACAAACACCCAGGAAGAAATGTACAAAACTATAAGAAAAACACCCAGGACTTTACTGAAGGACCTAAAAGAAGATTTGAATGAAATAGAAAAGACTAAATATTCTAAGGATGTCAATTCTCCCCAAGTTAATCTATACCTGCAAAATAATCCCATAGGGATTTTTTGCCCCCTGTCCCTGGAACTTGAGAAGTTGAACCTAAAACTTCTTGTGAAAGTTCTTTGTTATAGAAGAATTCCAGGTCATAATATAAGAGAAATTACAGAATTTTAAATTTGCCATTTTGGGGTACCTGGCTGGCTCAGTTGTAGAGCATGCTACTCTTGATCTCAGGGTTGTGAGTTCAAGCCGTACGTTGGGTATATAGATTACTTAAAAATAAAATCTTAAAATAAATAAATAAATAAATAAAAACTGCCATTTTGCAACTGCTATGAAATGGATGCCAGCATCATTGGATGCTAAAACCATCAGGTGAAAGGTTGACAGGGAATTAAAATACAGACATCGAGGAGTGCCTGGGTGGCTCATTCGGTTGAGCATCCGACTTCGGTTCAGGTCATGATCTCGCGATTCATGAGTTCGAGCCCTGCATCAGGCTCTGTGCTGATAGCTCAGAGCCTGGAGCCTGCTTCAGATTCTGTGTCTCCCTCTCTCTCTCCCCTTTCCCCACTCATGCTCTCTCTCTGTTTCGCAAAAAGGAATAAATGTTAAAAAAAAAAATTTAAAAAAAAAATACAGACATCAAGCTGACAGTATCTGAATTCACTAAATCATCTTTGTATCACCCAAAGTGAAAAAAACCCATCCATTCTATGCTTCCTGATATAACACAATAGGAAGTATACCACACTAATTATAATGTATTCTTATCTAAAAAAGTGAACTGATTTTGATCAAATCTCCTGACCTGACTACCAGTTTACAAAAAATATGGATAATAGAGGAATAAGTTAAATGAAACTAGGAGAAAGCAATCTGCCAAATCCAGAATGGGAGAGGTTCTAGAAAACAAGTGGCCTGGTTTCTCCAAAAAACCAAAGAAAAGAAGTGTATCAGGATGGGGTAGGGGGAGCTGATATATAATAAAAAAAGGCAAAAGAAATGTAACAAAATGTGATGTGTTGATCCCGATTAGAATAAACCAACTATAAAAGGACACCTGTGAAAAGCCTCATTCTAGATGGAAATGGGTACTATCATTCATGGTGTCCAGAAATTGTTAACGTGGCTACAATAAGACACAGGTTATGCTTCCATTGCAGCAAGTTTATTGCAGTGGTGACATTGAGAACTGTAACATTTTTTCCTAGGCTCATGGAGTAGAGAGCGGAAGTAACAAGACTTTTCAATATTACAATGAAGGAATAACAATTTTAGATCATTTGCCAAAATAGCAATCAATGTACTTCCTACCGTTTGACTTCTAGGGCCCTAACGTAAAGAAATTGGATCCCAAAGATTACAGGTGGGGAATTTCTGAAGTAGGTCCACATGCCAGTGGAGATCAAAGAAGTCCAACCAAAAGAACCAGGACTGACTGATAGTGACAACTGTGGATTAAACAAAAGTTCTTTTTAAAAGGATTATTTTGGGGGCGCCTGGGTGGCTCAGTCGGTTAAGCATCCGACTCTTGATTTCAGCTCAGCTCATGATCTCACAGTTAGCGTGTTTGAGCCCCACGTCAGGCTCTGTGCTGATGGTGTGGAGCCTGCTTGGGATTCTGTCTCCTCTCTCTGTCCCTCCCCCACTTGCTCTCTGTATCTTTCTCAAAATAAGTAAAAACATACTTTAAAAAATAATAATAAATAAATAAATAAGTAAGTAAATAAATGGGTTATTTTGAAGATTATGATTCTGGTTTTGGAGGAACTATGGTGATCGGCTGCAGCACTGGAAGGACACACATGTAAAATTCCCGAAATAAAATTTATTGGGGCATCTGGGTGGCTCAGCCGGTTAAGCATCTGACTCTTGGTTTCGGCTCAGGTCATGATCTCGAGGTTCGTGGGACCAAGTCCTGCATCAGGCTCTGCACTGACAGTGCGGAGCCTGCTTGGGATTCTCTCTCCCTCTCTATCTGTCCCTCCCCCACTCACACTCACACTCACACTTTCTCTCTCAAAATAAATAAATAAAAATATTTTTTTTTAATTTACTGACTTAAAAAATTAAGAGGACACCTTCGAGATAATTGGGGAAATATGAATATAGACTGGAAATTAGATGATACTCAAGAATTACCATGGACTTGGTTAGGTGTGATATGGTAGTTATGTTTAAAAGCAACAAAAGGGGCGCCTGGGTGGCTCAGTCGGTTGGGCGGCCTACTTCAGCTCAGGTCATGATCTTGCGGTCCGTGAGTTCGAGCCCCGCATCGGGCTCTGGGCTGATGGCTCAGAGCCTGCAGCCTGCTTCCCATTCTGTGTCTCCCTCTCTCTCTGCCCCTCCCCCGTTCATGCTCTGTCTCTCTCTGTCTCAAAAATAAATAAAACGTTAATAAAATAAATAAATAAATAAATAAATAAAAGCAACAAAATAAAATCTTTCAAGGGCTGCCCTTCTCATCTAGCATAAAAGCTGTATGTGAGCCTAGCCCCCTGTCCACTGCTCTGGTTTTATTTCATTTCCTCTTACTCTTTCCCTCATTCACCTCACTCTCCCCATAATGGAATTCTCACTGTTCTGCAAAGGCACCACTTCTGCTCCTACCACAGGACCTTATATTTGCTTCTCTCTCTACCAAAAAATGCTCTTCTCCCAGATATCTACACAGTTTACTACTTTACCTCTTTGGGTCTTTTTTTTTTTTTTTTTTTTTATTTTTAAAAAAATTTTTTTTTTCAACGTTTATTTATTTTTGGGACAGAGAGAGACAGAGCATGAACGGGGGAGGGGCAGAGAGAGAGGGAGACACAGAATGTGAAACAGTCTCCAGGCTCTGAGCCATCAGCCCAGAGCCCGATGCGGGGCTCGAACTCACGGACCGCGAGATCGTGACCTGGCTGAAGTCGGACGCTTAACCGACTGCGCCACCCAGGCGCCCCACCTCTTTGGGTCTTTACTTGAAAGTCCTGTTTTCAAATGATGCCGTCCTTAGCCACCCCCTCTAAAATAGCAATGACCTCTTTATCCCCCAAGAAAACCTCCCTATATCCCTGTCCTGAACTATTTTCCCCCTGTCACCATCTAACATACATACATACATTTATTTATTACAGATTTTATTTTTTTAAGTAATCTCTATACCCGATGTGGGGCTTGAACCCACAACCCTGAGATCAAGAGTTGCAGACTCCACTGACTGAGCCAGCCAGGTGCCCCCCACCATGTAACATATATTTGTTTATCTTCTTGTCTGTTCTCTTCTTTTTTTTTTTTGTCTATTCTGTTCAATGTATTTTGTCTACTTTGTTTGCTGTATCTCCAGCGACTACAACAGTATCTGATATGGGCACTCAATAATAAATATTGGTTGAATAAATGGACCAACCTATTACTATTCCTATGTAGTAGATGAGAAAACCAAGAGTTAGAGAGGTTAACAACCTCACCCAAATTCACACAAGTGGCAGAACCAAGGCTTTAACCCAGCTCTCTTACACCAAATTCTCCATACTCTTGGCCACTCCACCCGACTACCTTCACAATATGTCCATATTATTGAATACCATGTCACTAAATGTGAATGTCCATGATAAATTGACAACAATCAAAGTTGCAAACTAACATGTGAGGCATGATCCAATTCTTGTTTTGAGAAACAACAAGTATGTGTGTTTACATTAGGCTGAGCCATATGAAATACGACTTTTAAGAAACACGGGTGACCAAGGTTAAAAAGCTAGAAAGTAAATGGTACACAGGCACTTCACCATCTGGACTCAGCCTACACATACAGTCACTCACAATTTTCACTTCACACTCCAGAAAAGTAAAACCGCACACAGATTCCCCCAACATGCTGACTCACCCCTCCATGCTTCTACACGGGAGGTAGTATAGGTTGTTGGTTAAAAGCCCGAACTCTGGAATCAGTCAGGCCTGGATTTAAATCTTAGCTCCACCTCTTACTAGCTAGCTGTGTGATCGTGAACAAATGAAAATCTCTCTCTTTTTTTCATTTATAAAATGGAGATCATGTGAGAGACGATTAAATAAGACAACACATGTAAAGTGCTTCACCTAGTTTATGGCATATAATGAACAACAAATATTAGCCATTGCTATACCTGGCTCAAGCTGTTCCCTTCCTCCCTTCCCCATTTACCCTGAATTCCTTCACATCCTTTGAAAATCTGACTTAAAAATGACATCCTCAAAACCTTCTCTGCCTTTTTTTCCTCCCAGGCTGTTAAAGGCTCTTTTTTAAATACGATCTCTGTTTCTTACATAATCCCCTGTGATTTCTTTATCTAAGTGTTTTTGTCCCCTACATGACTATGAATTTCTCAAAACCATTATCAATTCTTTATTTATCCCGAAATTCCTGGTACCAAAAGGTGCCTACTAACACTCAACAAAGTGTTCCATGTCAAATTGAGTAAGAGCTGTATACAACTCCAACTTGATTCCAAACCCTGCGTTCTTTCTACCACATCCCACCTCCTCTCCTATCTTCTAATGAGCATCAACTGCTTCTCATCAGGTAGCACAACTGTCATGAATGAAATTGCTGCCCTAACGGTGAACACTGTTATTTAAAGTTGCTTTTCTTCTAACCAACCACACTGTTCATTCAGAACTGTTCATTCAGAGAGGGCTTTTAAGAAAGGGACACCCACGCTCCTCCAACCTAACCCATCTCTGCACTGAGCTCAGACCAGAAAGGCAGGCTTGACTCCCCAAGAACTCACATTTCAGAGGGATCTCTCTCTCATGCACAACGGTGAAGGGCAGCTTCTCCTGGTCGTCCGACGGCACTGACTCTCGGGTAAATACGACAGTGACGGGCACCATGAGCCGCAGCTAGAGAAAGGAGCATCAGGGCCATCGGCTGAGTCTCCACCTTGCCAGTGGGCTGTCCCCAGGCCTTCTCCCACAGAGGTCTCACCTGCAGGGCATTCAGCCCACTGATCTCAGAGTAAGGCAATGGGGCCCGGTAGGTCTCCGTAGTCTTCCACCAGAGCGGCAACCCCAGCACGATGGCCACGGCAGCGAAGAAGAGAGCGGCCCGCTTGCCTCGGACCACCTCTAGGGGCACGGAGGTACCGACTTGAGGCGCTGGAAGTGGGCTTGGTTGTCCTCCCCACACCTGACGCGGACGAGCCCCAGCAACCCTCACTCAGAAGCTCTCCGCCCGCCTTCATAGGGATCCCTGTGCCAGGGGCCCGCGCCCGTCTGAAGGGATCTTGTCTGAAACGACCCCCGACCCCCTAGTCCGCGGGACCACTGGCACACCACAATCCCCAAGCCCGCATTCCTCGCTCGCGATCTATGAGTCTCAGTTCCCACCCGAATGCCACCGCACCTAGGTCTGTAGCTGCGGCCCCGGGAGCCGCCATGCTTCCATCCAGTTGCTCTAGCCGCCGAGGGGCGGAGCTACGCAAAGCCTCCCCCAATCGGAAACCCGCAAGGAGGGGGCGGGACCACGGCAGAGGTCGCAGCCAATCGCAAGCGGCACTCAGGGAGGGCAGGGGAGAGAAAGAGGTAGAGGGTGGGCGGGGTCCGCAAGGAGCCCGGCCGTGAGTTTGAAAGGAATTTACCCAAGCACCAAGGGCCAGTGGAGTGGCTGTGCAGGTTTCTGTGTTGCCGGAAGATTCTTCGTTAGTACCCCGTTTCCTTGTGGAACACACTCCTAGCCCCAGGGATTAAGAGAGCAAACTCTGCAGGCGTTAAATACTAGTTGAGCGACCACAGGCAGCTCTAAGTCTCAGTTTTCTCATCTGGAAAATGGAGATATTTACTAAAATGAGGTCATTCAGGGGCGCTTGGCTGGCCGTCAGTGGAGCAGGTGAGTCTTGATCTTGGGGTCCTGAGTTTGAGCCCCACGTTGGGTGTAGAGATTACTTAAAAAATAAAATGAGGTCATTCATGTGAAGAACCTGGCACGGAAAGCACCCAAATATCACCTATCAGGATAACTGTTTATCGTCCGTTTCAGAGAGCTCCTCTTCTGGGCACTCTCTCCGTAAGCTTCAGATATGGAGACAGCAAGCTAGTTGTACCTTTTTAGCATATTTGGCTCATTCAGCCTTTTTTTTTTTTTTTTTTTTTTTTTTTTTTTTTTATTCATTTGAGTTCATTTCCAAGTTGTAAAAGTCTGAATACTTCACTTAAAATTCTTGAAAATTCATGAACACAGACTCTGGATCCTGATCACTTGGGTTTAAATCCTGACTTTACCACCTCACCTGAGTGATCTTGAGAAGTTAATTAACTAACCTCTCTGTGCCTGTTTCCTCATATTAAAATAGGGATGGTAATAGTATCTACTTCATACAGTGTTGTAGTAAATGAGTTAGTAAATGTAAAGTGATTAGAATAGGGCCTGGTGGGAGCACATAGCAAGTGCTATGTAAGTGTTAGCTATTTCTGTTAATATGAGGTCAGGTGACACTGGACCTACATTCCCATATTGCAATAATTTGGTGGGTGGAGCATTGATTGCACACTTTACACAGAGCATGGGCTGCCCAGTTCACACAGAACATGCCTAGCAAGTTCTTTCAACTTTTCATCCCTTCAGACGGCCCCAGGTGTTCGATGTATGTACCCCCCACACCCCAGCCAAGTGGTCAAAGTTTAGCATGAAACCTCACCAGGGCTTCCCTTGCCCAGACCCTCAAATTGGCCTTCTCTGTGCCCTCATCTCCCCAAAACGGGAATGGGCAATAGCCCTTGGCAACCTCCTAGGTACCCTGCTCCGTCTGGCAGTCCTGAGCCTTGGGCCTTTTCCTTGCTGGGCAGGAGCCCAGGTGTTCCTCCTGCAGTGCCACCCCCACCCCAGCAGAACGTGTCAAGCCCCAGCAGGGTTCAGCACACAGAAGTGAGCGACTGCCATCCCCCTTATCCCAGTTTTGGGCCATTCGCAAAAGCTGCCTTCAGGAATTGCACAAGTCTCGCCTTACTCCATCCTTCAGACGCAGCCCAGTGCCTCTGATGTGGCGGTCCTGAAAGACCTGCAGCCTTCCAACTTTGGACATTAACCCGCAAGAGCTTGAGCTGGGAATGGTGACTGGGTGTGCCCCTCCCCTCAACACTTCCAGCCCAGTAAGACTCAAAACCTACTCTGTCCTCCACAGTCAGAGGGCCCAGGCAGTCAGCCGAAATCAGAAACTGAGAAGTGGGCGTCTGAGGCATCTGATGTGTAAAACAGACAGACAAAGTAGCATGTTTTGCTACCATTTATTTGCTATGTGGTATGTACCCAAGGTGTGAGTCATGTCTGGTGTCCTATCCTCTGATCCCAGAAGAGAGGACAGGCAAGGAAAGCCCAAGGAGAAACTACCACATCATGGGGAAATTGTGGGGGCTAGCAGAGGCAGGGGGAAACCGAAGCATCCTGCTCTGGCTTCTAGCAACTTCTTCTGCCCTCAGTCGTGAGGGGCACCCCATCCATCTAATGGTCCCAGGTGGCAGCAATGGGAGAGGGGAGGGGAGGACAAAAAAGGAAGATGACTCCGTGCTGGATGCAGGCATGTCTGCTCTGCATGACTGTTTGGCGCTAGCCATTACTATAGGTGAAATTGGGTGCAGGTGGCCAAGCCAAGGGCTGTGACATGGGATGCGTACTCAGTAGGCATGGTTGGCAATGTAGAGGGACTGTGCTGCTGCTCCGCCATCTTCTCCACTGCCTTCATACTTGCCCTGGGCCGCAAGCCCATTCACCTGCAAAAGAGCAGGCGGGAGGGGGGTTCAGGGGGAGTAAACAGGCTGACCCAGCCCACAGGGGCCAAACCCTGCCCAGGCTGTAACCTCTGAGTGCCCCCTGCCTAGCTATACCCCTCTCCCCCAATCACCACCTCTAGCTCCCAACCTCGGCCCGCTTGATGAACTCCTCAGTGGCAGCCCCAGCATTGTCTTGTTGCCCTCTCCAGGCATTGAGGGCAGAGGCCTGCAGGGCACGCCCGTAGGAGAAGGTGAGGGCCCAGGGCCGAGGAAGGGGGCAGCGGTTGATAGCATTGAGGTTGAGTGATGCTTCCTCTTCACTCTGACCCCCAGACAGGAAGGTCACTCCTAGGGTAGAGTAGAGAAGACAAAGTGGGGGCGCCTGGGTGGCGCAGTCGGTTAAGCGTCCGACTTCGGCCAGGTCACGATCTCGCGGTCCGTGAGTTCGAGCCCCGTGTCGGGCTCTGGGCTGATGGCTCAGAGCCTGGAGCCTGTTTCCGATTCTGTGTCTCCCTCTCTCTCTGCCCCTCCCCTGTTCATGCTCTGTCTCTCTCTGTCCCAAAAATAAAAACAAAAACAAAAACAAAAAAAAAAACGTTGAGAAGACAAAGTGGTCAACTCTCTAGTTTTCCAGGGTACAGGACCCATGAAGACCACAAGAACCTGAGGATGGGTCTTAGGGATAGGAACGGGTTAGGAAGCACGGTGGTACCTGGAACAGCCGGGGGCACAGTGCGACGCAGGGCAGTGACAGTTGCCATGGCGATCTCCTCTGGGCTGTATTTAATGGGACAGGCATGGCCAGGGGTCACCATGTTGGGCTTGAGCAGGGTCCCTTCGAGGTACACGTGATGGTCACTCAGGGCCTTGTACACGGCAGCCAAGACCTGGGAAATCAGAGGTTTACTAAGGTTCTGGACTCCTGTTTAACCCTCCCTGTTTAGGGGAAGGTGGGCATGACTGGGAGGGACAGTACAGGCTCAAACTCACAGGTGTGTTCTTGGATGAAGTAAAAGAATGCTTGGGGAAAGTGCTTGCATCTAAGCCAAGGACTATGGGGAACAGGCTCCCCCGTCAGACTGTCCTTGCAGTGTCTGTACCCAGGTGTGGACTCACCTTCTCCGTAACATACTGACAGCGTTTGAGGTCATGGTCTCCATCAGGCAGGATCTCAGGTTCCACAATAGGCACAATTCCATTCTGCAGGTAAGAGCAGAATAACTTGGGAGGGGCATAGGTAGGAGGGGAGAAAGCCCTGGTAACCCTCTCCCCACTAGGCACCGGGCACCTGTCTGACCCCCCCCCCCACACATACACACACCTGCTGGCAGATGCTGGCATAGCGGGCCAGCACGTTGGCATTCTCCAGAATGGCAAGTGCTGAGGGTGTGCGCTCACTGATTTTCAGCACGCAACGCCACTTGGCAAAGTCGGCACCATCCTTCTTGTATTGGGCACAGCGTTCCGAGAGCCCATCCAGCCCTGCAGGCATAGTGCCAGCCTCATCACTCTGCCCCTCTGCGCCAGCATCAACCATCCAACAACCCTGTGGTCCTGAAGCCCACCCATCCTGTACCTTGAGTGGTGGTTTCTCCATCGGTCCCCGCTAGAGGAACTACACCCTTGTCAACCTGTAGGGGAAACACAGGCAGAAGGCTGAACCCAGGCAGGATTCCCCTTGTCACCTCTCTCACACACACCTATTTCCATGTTCAGCCCCCATTGAGGGCCAGTGGCTGCACCTTGATGCCCACGATAATGCCCTTATCCTGGATGGTACGAACGAAGGGAACACCACTGTCATCTTTCTGGTAGAGTGTCTCATGGAAGAAGATCACCCCTCCGATGCACTTCTTCACACGGTCATCAGCACTGAACAGGACCTGGCGGTACAATCTGCGGTTTTCCTCTGTGTTCTCCACTCCAATTTGGCTCAGCCGCTTGGCCATGCTTCCTGGGGGCAAACAAAAGAAGGGTAAGCAAGCTCATCCCCAGGGCTCTCTGGCCACCTCTACCCCACCTAGCCACAGGCCCTCACCTACCTACAGACTCATCGGCGGCCAGAATGCCTTTGCCTGGGGCCACAATCCGAAGGGCGATGTCAGACAACTCCTTTTTCTGCTCAGCAGAAAGGGCTGGGTACGAGTGGGGCATGGTGACAGCTCTGTGGAATTGAGACAAGATATAAAAGCTGGTCCCGACCTACTACGTCCTCTGCTTCCTCTCTTGGCCATATGGGCCAAATGGCCTCCCCCCACCTCCCAACCAGCATGGAGCTAGGAACAAGGCAGTTGTCCTTGGCATAGGTCCTGGGCAACACAGTGGCACCAATCCCTCTGACAGCTAGCAGGCTTAGGGCCCCAGTTCCCACATCTCCTTTTGTCACTGGTGGGCACCCTTCCCAGCCCTGGGGAAAGATGCAGGGTGGGGGTGGGGACGTGAGCAGCCCCGAAGCTACAGGTCTTCTTGTGAAACTACTGCCCAAGCGAAGACCCAGTCCTTCTTTTACTGAATTTGGCCCTGTGAGGTAGGGCATGAGTCCTGGCCTTTCCAATTGCCATTTGTCAGCCTCAGCAGGGCCCCTAGGGAAAAGTGCACTTACTTCCCAGGCTTCAGAATGAGGCAAAAGTACCTATCACCCCTCTTCCTGCACCTTCCGGGGGAAAAGTGGGGGACAA